GGGGGGGGGCGAGAGCGAGAGCAGGGCCCAGCACAAGGCACCAAGAGGCAACAGGGGAGGGCAGAGCAAGCGGATTGGGTGGACGGCGAAATATATTTGACGTCCTGCAGAAAACCGTGATCGGATGCAGCGCCGTCCGTGATTTACCGGGCGGAGTTTGGAATTTCACTCCGAGTATCCGAGACGAGATGCCGTATGAAGTCTGCCTCATCTTCAGAAACTCTCGTACAGGTGCATAGCCTGGGTCAACATGGCATATATACGAAACCACTGGAGGCGATGCAAACAGGCAATAAGTTCCCCCAACTACCACCACCCTCACACCTAACGAGCAATGTCAGCACCGAGACGACAGGATGTGCGGTTCTTCGAAGGGGCCCACAACGTTTTCATCGCGGACAGTCCATTCCGCATAGAGACGACACCATCAGGTAAGTCAGGCCGTCCGCAGATAGGCTACCGAGACGGGCGCTAAATTTCACTTGCCAGCTGGATTCAAGAACTGGAAGGAGGTCATCGCTCCAAGTGCCTTCCATAACTCGGGCGAGCGATACGAGCCGCCCAGATGTCATCCCGGTACCCGCGAAGCAATTCTCGAGAAGATCATGTCCTGGGTACGCGGAGAGATCGACGTCGAAACCTTTGTCTTTTGGTTGAATGGGTCAGTTGGCGTCGGGAAGTCAGCCATCGGGCAAACGATCGCAGAGATGTGCGAGGAGTACGGCCTACTCCTCGCAAGCTTCTTCTTCAGCCGCTCGGACCTCACACGAAACAACACGAAATTCCTTATCACGACCTTGGCGTACCAGATCGGATTGAGTGTCTCGCATGCTCGCCACCGCATTGAACAGGCGTTCGAGCATGACCCTGTTGTCCACACGCGATCCCTCGAAACGCAAATGAAGAAGCTCGTCATCGAGCCCCTCCAACAAGTTCTCATTTCAGGACGGCAGCTGGCAAGTGGGTCAAATGGTGTTTCTGCGATGGCTGTAGAAAAGCACATACCCCCCAAAGAAATTGGGTGAATTGGCGGAAGTTTGTCCCGTCCCTCGCATATTGTACATCCCCCCAATCCCCCTTGATCATCCTTCACGCCTCGCCTGAACTTCTTGGGTATCGGTTCGCCCTGACTTTCCTATCCGACATGCTCGCTGAAGCATCCCGATCCGCCGAGCTCATTGAGCGCTGCCGGGAATGCGTATTCCATTCAACATCCATCCTCTTCCCTGGCAAGACGAAGATAGCACGAAAGGCAATGTCCCAGTACCTCGAGCGGATGGAGGCTGAAGAACGAGAGTGGTGGCTTGACTGACGGTACGTCTTGGCTTCTGAAAAATGTTTATAACGACTCATATATGTTTGCAGGGATACTCTTCGATGAAACAATCTCTAGCATGGAGGATTGGAGGAATCCGATTGCGAGCGCTGCCGGAGTGTTAGGGAGGGCATGCGAGACAATGGTAGAGGACCGACGCGACAGAGTGATTCCTCCTGTGTCGAGTGCCCTCACGGGAGTTAAGCGCCGTGTGATCGAGATAAGCCCTGTTTCAATGGACGGTCGGAGCCTAGCTACCCTAGAGAATATTCACCAAATCTGCAAGACTCTGATATCATTAGCCTAGGTTCATTTTAGGAGCATTTGTGTCTCTCAGCGATTGAGTCTCTTGCATCGACACAGCATCGGCACATAGATTGCAGGCAGTGACCTGGGTCCAGAATGCTTATTCCAGCCGTCGCCAATCCTATTCCGGGGGCCTACTAGCATCAAGGGCCCGCTCTGCGTGTTTGTCCTTTCCCGTTGCTCTTTGAATTTTGAAATGTCTCAGTGGCACACAGCGGGCTCGTCAAATGCGCCATCCCACATCTTTTGATTGTCTTTCCAAAAGTTACAGGTTTATACAACGTCTGAAGTCTCAAAATATCCGACCTTAGTGACAATGCTGGTTAACTACGCGACATTCAATATGGACATCCTTACTCGCAGATCGAACGGACGTCCATACCTTTCTCGAAGCGCCAGGTCTGGTTCGTTCCCTCCCACTTGCCCCAGAGGCTGATGGGTGTGCAGGGCTTGGAATCGCCGTGGTTGGAAAGATCGAGGTTCATGTTAGTCCAGGGGACGAAGATTCTGCATTGAACAAGATAGCCCCGTACGAAGCATAAGCTATAGTGGAACTCCAAGAGCAATACAACGCGCACCGATAGACAGAGCAATCCTTCTCATCGGGGAGGATCCTCCATGTGAATGGCTCGGATTTGCTGATAAGCTTGGTCCCGTCGAAGTGCTGACCATCAAAGCCGATGTACGTGCCGCTACGTACGTTCTTGAGGTACCAGTCGTCGTGGTTGTCGACCGAGACGAGCTCCCACTGAGATCGATAAGGATCGCGGTCAAATCATGATGCTGCGTAGGCAACAGAGCCGAACTACCTGTTGGTTGGGCCCGCCGTGCTTGGGGTAGCCGATAACTGCGATATGATGACGATCGTGAGTGAAGGAGCATGATGGAGAGGCAGAGCAGCGAACGTACTGTCGCGATTGTTGGTGCCGTCGAGATCGATGGCGGTTCCTCCCTTGACGTTAGTGATGATGTAGCGGGCACCTTTTTCAAAATGCATGTCGGTTGAGATTCTTGGGAATAGCCTCAGGAAGGAAGGCTGTTTAAATACCTGAACGAAAGGGTGGCGTCCAGCAGTCCTTCACGATATCACAATCTCGGATCGATTCTCCGTACTATCCATCCCTGAGAGGTCGATTTGAATAAGCACATAGCATCGCAAGAAGGCCCCTGCGGTGATGAGGACCATTTGGCAGCAAGCATTCCGTCGGAGAACTGGATCCCCGACAACCATGTATAGGTTTATGAAATCCAAAACAATGAGCTGGAGTGACAATAGCGGGAGGGTAGGCGGGGGACATGAGAGCCATCAAGCAGGTAGGAGGGAGAATCGAAAGAGGTTGCGATTTGATTGGAATATTTTTGTCGACGGTAGTCAGGCCGGGCCGGCGCTCAGAAACGAAGCAGAGAGTAAAGTTCAAACGTTCAAGTAGCGTCCAATTGCTGTGAAAATTACATTGTTTTAACAAGACGGAAGTCTATACAGTTTGAGGAGTCCCAAATTAATTTAGTTCGCTATGACTCGATTAGCGCAATCTCCTTAGCAAAAGACGTTGTCGTACCTTTCTCGAAGATCCAGGTCTGGTTGGTACCCTCCCACTTACCCCAAAGACTGACGGGGGTGCAAGGCTTCGAATCTCCGTGGTTGGACAAGTCGAAGTTCATGCGCGTGTTCGGCACGAAGATCCTATATTCAACGACGTCAGGGCGTAAGCATTATCAAGCATAATTTGAAGGGAAGAAGACGATGCACCTGAAGGCATTGCCGTTCTTCTCATCGGGAACGATGTTCCACTTGGACGGCTCCGAGGAGCTGATGAGCTTGGTGCCGTCATGGTGGTTCCCCTCGAAGCTGATGTAGGTCCCGCTGCGCACGTTCTTGAGCTGCCAGCCCCCGTCGGCTTGAACAGCCTCCCACTGGACGACGCACGAGACGTGAGATATGGGATAAGAAAAGCGTTAACAAAAAGGAGAACGTACCTGCTGGTTGGGCCCGCCGTGCTTGGGGTAGCCGATGACTATAATGAAATCCCCTGAATCAAGGTCGAGGACGGCAACGGGAGATCAACGTACTGTCACGGTTGTTCGTCCCGTCGAGGTCGATGGCAGTACCGCCCTTGACGTTGGTGATAACGTAGCGTCCTCCGGCTTCGATTCCCATAGTGTCTGTGAGTTGCGAGTTAAAGGTGAAGTGCTGGGTTTGGAGATGCTCTTTCCAACATAAAACTAGCCCTCCTTATATACCTTCTGTTTGAGGGGCCCACCGCAACACACGGTCCCAGATCGTCTCACATCCCACCCAATCACAAAGCCAGAGGGTGGACGGATGACGGCGCGTTTGAATTTTGACTCCGCGCCCCGCTCACACAGAACCCACAACGTCATAGGACCCCTAGCGGCAAAACAAACGAAAGCTGCGCATACTCGCTCCAGCTGTTCGAGAGCTTTCGAGACTGCTGTGTGGGGTCTTCCGCAAGGCCCCAAAGCACGCACTCGTACGCTGTGAAATGAGGAAAATTCGTCCTCCGTCGAGCAGGCGTAAAAGGGGGACGTTCGGAATGGATTGGCACCGTTAGGAGACTCGGATATCGATGTGATCAAGCCGGAACCTCCGGGCGGTAGACGAAGACATCGTCACTGTCTCGCCCGCGACCCACATCTTCTCCTTCGTTCTCTATAGACGAAATCTGAGGCATCAAAAGCCCTCGTTTGCCGTCGAAGAGCACGCGGTCCAACCCAAAATCGAGGTACGACCCCACAAAGCTTAAACCCCACCGTCACCGGACCATATTCATCGACTTCGTCGACTTGACGTCATCGATTTCGAGGCGTTATTCCGGCTCCTTCAAAAGGGCCTGTACGTAGGCGATTATTTCTGCACCCGGTGCACGATACGCCAGCGAATTTCCCGGCGAACAAAGCCGCCTAGTCGTGAATTGGATTGTCGAGCGAGGCTGTGAGCAATTTTGATTCGCGCGAGTGTGATATGGCGTCCACACATGACGATGTGGACCCTTGCGGCGCGTCGTGGCCGGGCAGGTACCTCGCTTTCGCCGCTATTCGCCCACAGAACGACGAAATCTAGAGTGCTGCCCGAGAGGTCAGCTGGTTTGCAGGGCAGACGAGAAGTACTGATCGGGGCGATGAAAGAGACGATAATCGGTGCTGATTGCCCTCGGAGGCCCGAATTACGATCCATGAGCTTATGTGGAAGTCGATATTGTCCATCATCGTCTGGAAGAATGGCTACCAGGAGGTACGAGGGGCTGTCGATAGTCGACGTTGATGTTCGAAAGCAAAACTTGGTTGATCGACCCAAAAGGGAGATGCTTTCCCACAACATCGGCACTACGCTCGGCATTCTGGTGAATCTGGTCCCACGCTTTTCAACAGCTTCAGCAGACGTATCTCGTATCTTGTAGTATCTTGTTCGTATCAGTGTGAATTGAAATCATGAATCCCACCAGGATATATTGAAAGACAAGCACGTAAGCTCAGAGTAAGCATAGCACCCTACATGATCAGCGGAGGCCAGGAATACAGTAACAAAGTTAATCGGTGTATGCATGACTCCCTGGACAGAGTTCCAAGGAAATCAGTGAGAAAAGTTGAAGCAAAGGTAAGGTGGCACAAGCGAGGGTACATATGATATATGCCAAGTAGTACGAAGCATCCAATGTACAATGTACAACAACAGAATTCATCCGGCGCTCAACGTTCGGGGATCGTTCGAGCGCACAAGCATGACCCAGGAGAAATCGTTCGGGTTCCAAAGAAAAGAAAGGGTATCGTCCGCGGACTTAGACTGGAAGAGAAGAACGCTGATCAGCTAACGGGCTAGAAGCCGTACTACAGAGAGCGTACCTTGAGTGAACTTCCACGTCTGATGGAGGCCATTCCAGGTATACCAAAGTGTGACGGGGTTTCCGGACGAGGGGTTGCCTCTGGCGTACAGATCGAGGTTCTGGTGGGTGTTTGGGACGAAAATTCTAGCGTGAAGGCCAAACATAAGTTCCAACGTCCTTTAAATAAGCTGAACGTCAATCGCTGACCTGAAGGTGTTCTCGTCCTGTTCGTCCCTCCAAATGTGCCAGTCAAAGGGAGTGGTCGACGCCACAATTCGGGTACCGTCGGAGGCAGAACCATCGATGGAGAGGTAGGTGCCGGTGGCAACGCTGCGGAACGTCCAGGAATTTCCTGTCCAGTTCAAAGTCCACTGGCGGTATTGAAAGGAGGTCAACGAGCTGGGCAGGGTATCGAAAAATGGGGCTTACCTGTTGGTTTGTGTGGCCATGAGTGGCCCACCCGGTGACTGGGAAGGAGGAAACGTTGGGAAACGCGAACTCTTCGAGAGAACAAAAAACGAACCTGTATGATTGTCACCTGCGGACAGATCAATGGCCGTCCCAGCCTTGACGTTCGTGATAACATATGTGAGCCCTGAGTGGACATTGGCCGTCATGATGATGTTGAAGGTTTGGAGGAGACTACGAGGCAAAAGGGGGATTGACGACGTGGGGGAGGAAAGAAAGCGAGGAACGAGTTGCTTTGACGGCGGCGAGCTTAAGAATGCTGGATGGCGTCCTTTATGCCACATCCAGAAGATTACGCGCATTCCAGAAGGTGACGTCGAGAATCGGCCCTAATTAATTCGCTCCAAGACGGCTATTGATCGCGAGGATGCAAGGAGGCAGTGATGGAAGAGCTGCGTGCTCGCAGGCACGTGTGGTGCGTGGTATGCACCCACCCGCGAAAAGGATCCGAGCCTAGCACGCTCGCCTGGTTTTCGACAGCACAAATGCCCGGCAGAACGCCTAGGGGCACGACTCGCGCTTCCAGCCACCAAAACCACGTCTGGCTTAATCCACAAACAAAGAACCAATGCGGAAATCAGAGAAAGGCATCTTTGTGGATGGTTGCTCAGGAGGCGCCTTGATGGTCACTGTTGGGGGCGATAAGGCCATTGAGCGGGCAGTGAGCGGGGAGAGCGATTCACCAGCTGTGACAGTGAGAGATTCGGGACAAGAAATGACGACGTTTTCAATCTTCGCACTAACGCCGGGTCTAGGCTTCTGAAGATGATCACGTGTTGACGAATTCGAAGTAATGGCAGCTAATGGCAGCTCAGTTGCGCCATGTCGCACGAGATCGTTGGAAAACGGATCATGAAAGGTTATCAAAGAAATTTTTAAATAAAGAAGTATGGACAACATATATAGATAATTCCAGAAGAAAACCAGGGGTGCAAGAGTGGGTTTGTTTGGCGCTTATTGCGCATGAGTCCCGGCGCCTAAGTCTAGTGATCGCACCTGCCACCTGAAGGGTGGAAAGGATTCGATGAAATCGTTTCGAATTCGTCTATCCCGTGTATGTTTGCCCATCAACCCGTAACTTCCTCCTGTGACTTCTTTACTACTTTCTGAAGTGCTTTACATTTGATCCACTGCATCAAGAAATATACTAGGGATAAAATGATTATTTGGTCTTCGTAAGTGTATTGGTGAATAATAGTACTCACCCTCAGTCAAGCCACCACTCTCGTTCCTCGGCCTCCATGCGTTCGAGGTACTCCGACATCGCCATTCGTACAATCCTGGACTTGCGAGGGAAGAGGATGGATGCTGGATGAAATACACACTCCATGCAGCACTCGATAAGCTCAGCAGATCGGGGTGCTTCGGCGAGCATTTCAGGGAGGAAGGTCAAGGCGAGGTGATAAGCGAGCAGTTCGGACGAAGAGTGAAGGATGATCAAGGGGGATCGGGGAGACGCACGATACGCGAGGGTTGTAGCGAACTCAGGACCTCGCCAGCACCATGTTTCTGGCGTATGGGCCTTCCCACAGCTGTCACAGAAACACCATTTGAACCATTTGCCAGATACCATCCTGAAACGAGAGTGCTGAATCCTGCGGAATTTCCAGGGATGATTCTTCAGAGGTTTCGTCAGTTGGGCAAAGGTGTCGAAGACATTTTTCAGGGGAACTGGGCGGCACAAATGGCGAATTAATGTAAATGCTGCATCCGCAAACTTTGTGCCATTCACAGCATTTTGCACAGATTTTCTTGGATTGTGGGCCAAGGCAGAAAGAAAAGAAAACCATTCCTGGAACCTTGGAATACGCCGGCGGAGATAGAAAGGGTCAGGCTCTACCTCTTTCCGTCCCTTTCCAAGCATATAAGACAGTGCCGAGTCAGTACTTCTGAACGCCACAGTTGTAAAACTGCTCAGTAATAACGGAATGTAGGCCGATTGAGAATAGAATTGCTCCAGGACAAAGCGGGCCTGATATTCAAAGACTTGTAGTTGGGATTCATACAATCCTTGAGCATCCTCAAATGCCTAAATTTAACAACACACTTAATAGGCGAATGGTAAATAGTTCTAGGATTAGAACATACCATCATCTGTATTTGAGTAACCAAGCCATAAACGGTGTTGCCGAGAGGGAAGGTTTGTTGCAGAGAAGGTTTGGAGAGCAGGAGGCCAAGTTGACAATCTCGCAACGCATCGTGGAGCACTTGAGATTTGCATGATCCCAGTTTCTCAAAAGAGCGACTGAGGCCTTCCAAAATGAATACATGGTTCACCAAATCGTTCCGTAAGATCCAAGACACCCATTGGGCAATGCTCGGCTCCACATTCACGAAGTATTGCTTTGAGCGATGCTGATTCGTCAAGAAGTCCCCCACAGAGGCGTGCCGGAAGTTCATTTCCCAGATATTGGGGCCATTTTCTGGCTTCCGTACGACTTCGACGACAGATGAAAGGTCGCCGAAAATTAATCTGATATCGTCAAAACTGAGAGCAAGCACATCACGCACAATCTGACTGATCATGGTGTCGAAATAGGTACTGGCAAGCTTGAAGCTCAGGACCTTCAAGACGGAATCTACGTCTTCTAGAGATGAAAAAAGTTGAATATAAAGGTCATCGAGGTCTGCGAATGGGTTATTGGCTTGCTCTGCGTGCAACGCGGAGATTTCGTTGAGACGATCGATTGGACGACGTCGGATATTGCGACTATAGTCAATTACAATGTGAGCGTAGAGGAACTGCCCAGATGCCCTGTGCACGAGCTTGTTGACATCATCCGAGCTTGGCCACAATGATGAAATGGAGTCTTTGAGGGGGTGTGTCTTCTTGATCTCCTCAAAACCGTCCTCAAGGAAATGGCGGATGTCGTCGTCCGAATCCCCATATGTACCGAGGGCGTGGTAGGTAGTGATGTCTCGCATGGGAGCTGAGTCGAACTTCAGGGAAATCTCCTGAGTGGGACGGCTCCCGACGAGGAAAATGAATCGATATCCATACGCCTTCAAGGAGCTACCCGCTCTATTGATAGTCTCGAGAATTCTGTACTGCATAGATGTGCCAGCGCATTCGTCGAGGCCGTCAACGACAATGAGCGGTGCGATGTTGATCTGGACTACGGATGCCTGTTGGAGGGGTTCGACAATGAGCTTCAGCACTTGCGTTTCCAATGATCTGGTGTGGAGAACAGGGTCGTGCTCGAATGCATGTTCGATATGGCGGCGAGCATGCGGGACGGTCAATCCGATCTGGTATGCTAATGTCGTGGCAAGGAACTTTGCGTTGTTTCGTGTGGGATCAGAGCGGCTGAAGAAGAAGCTGGCGAGCAGCAGGCCCTGTTCCTCGCACATCTCTGCAATCGACTGCGCAATAGCTGACTTCCCAACACCCACATATCCATTCAACCAAAAGATGAAGGCTTCGGTGTCGATATTTCCCCGCACCCACAACATGATCTTCTCGAGGATTGCTCTGCGGGTGCGGGGGTGGCATCTGGGCGGGTCAAAGCGTTCGCCTGAATTGTGGAATGCACCGGGGGCAATTATATCTCTCCAGCCACGGAACCCAGCTGTGAACTGTCGATTAGCGCCCGGCTCGCTGGATCATGCATCATGGCCTATTTCCAAGGGCCCTGACTTACCCGGCTGAATCGTCTCGAGGCGGATTGAGCTTTCGGCAATAGAAACGTAGTGTGCCCCTTCGAATAATCGGACGTCGTGTTGTCCTGGTGCTGACATTGCCGAATCTGAGGCGAGGTGGCAAGTTAGAGTATAAACGTTCAACGAGGAAACTTAGGGTCACGTGCCTCAGGATGTCTGAGATTACTGACCGGCCCGGGCCCCGCTCCCACGATTTGACTTCAGAACATTGACAGGGGGAACGCGGGGATTCACACTTTCAGTTTGTGAAGCACAATTCACAAATTTCAAGTTCCGATTCCCAATTTTTTTTAGTTTCTGGCGGGAGATTATCATTAGCCTGTCGCTGTTAAGGCCACCTCTAAGTGTCACCTCCACTCCACATCTGTACGTTGCCCCCGCCCTCCACACCGTTCGCTCCGACACCGACACCGAGACAGTCACAGTTCTCGAGCCAAGATGCCTGCCCACAGAGTGTAACACAAAAATCATGACTAAATCGTGCACCTTCCGAAGCGTTTCAGATGAAAGCCCTGGCCAAAAAGTGCACGATTTGCTTCCGGAACAGGCTTGAAATCATCATTTTTTTCCACGCGAGACCCGAGATCCATTGAAAACCGATCATGAAAGGTTATCGGAGAGGTATTTCAATACGGAAGTACGGACACCATATATATATAATGTCCGACCAAAAACCAGGGGTGCAAGAGTGGAATTGTTAGGCGCTTATTGCGCATGAGTCACGGCGCTTAAACCCAGTGATCATACCTGTCGCGTAATCCTACGCATACGCCGTTTAGACGTCACCTATCCGGTGTGAAATTGACCATCAAGCTGTAACCTCCTCCTGTGTTCTTCCAGCGCCTGCAAGACTCGCAGTTATCTCGAGAATCGCGATTGCGGTCCTTGGGCTTGATCCACTGCTTCCCGAAATATACTAAAATTACAATAATTATATGCGTGTATTGGTGAATAATGATAGAACATACCCTCAGTCAAGCCACCACCCTCGTTCTTCGGCCTCCATCCGCTCGAGGTACTTTAACATCGCTCTTCGCGCAATCTTCGCCTTGCGAGGGAAGAGGATGGATGTCGGATGGAATACACACTCCCTGCAGCACTCGATGAGCTCGGTAGATCGGGATGCTTCAGCAAGCATGTCGGATAGGAAGGTCAAGGCGAGGCGATAAGCGAGCAGTTCGGACGAAGAGTGAAGGATAATCAAGGGGGATCGGGGGGACGCACGATATGCAAGAGTTGGGACAGCCTCATGATATCCATGGCACCCTGCCTTTGGCGTACGTGCTTTCCAACATAGGTCACAGAAACGCCATTTGAACCACTTGCCGGGGGCCAAACGAGTATGACGAACCCTATGTGTAATCCAGGCGCGATTCCTCAGAGATTTCTTACAATCGGCAAGCGTCCGGGCGATAAGACCTGTCGGGGACACTGGATGGGACAATATTTGGATGAGTGCGAGCGCTGCGTCCGCTAGCCTGTCAGCATTAACTCTGAATTGAAGAGACCTCTTTGGATCGCATACGAAGGCAGAAAGAAAAGACAACCATTGCTGGGATTCTGCCCAACGCAGGCGCAGGCCAAGAGGGTCGGGCAGTATCTCTGTTCCCCCCACACCAAGCATGTAACAGAGTGCTGCACCAGTGCTGTCATAGGCTGTCGTCGTAAAGTCGTTAAGTAGTAATGGGGTATAGGCAGGTTGGGAATATAGTTTGCCCAGGACCAATTGGACCTGGGATTCAAAAACTCGGAGTTGGGATTCGTACAATAATTGAGAGTCTTTGAATGCCTAAATTTGATAGCATAGGTGAGAATTGAGTGTTAGACCCAGAACCCGAACTTACCATCATTTGAATTTGTGCGATCGTAAAATAAACAAGGTCTCCAATGGGGGCGCATGCTTGAAGAGACGGTTTGGAGAGTAAGAAGCCGAGATGATAATCTCGCAACACATTGTGGAACTCCTGAGATTTGCACGACTTCAGTCTCCTGAAAGCCAGTTCAAGATCGTCCACATGTTGCGGGTGGTCCACCAAATCGTTCTGCAAAACCCAAGACACCCATTCGACGACGCTCGGTTCGACATTCACGAAGAATTGCCTCGAGCGATGCTGATTCGTCAGGAACTCCTCCAGGGAGGCATGCTGCAAATTCATTTTCCAGGTATACGACCCTCTTTCTGGTGTGGTTACAACGTCGACGACGGATGAAAGGTCGCCGAATAATAGTTTGACATCTTCATAATCAAGACCGAGCCTATCGTGCACAATGTCACTGAACGCAAAGCCTTTGCTGGTAAATTTGGCAAAATGCAAGCCGAGTATCTCCAAGACACGATCTACGTTTTCGACAGATGAAAGGATGTGAGTGTAGAGCACGTCCAGGTCTTTGAATGGGTTGTTCGCTTGCTTCACGAATAAGGCAAGAACTTCGCTCAGACGGTCGATTGGACGATGTCGGATATTGCGAGTGTAGTCGATGACAATGTGGGCGTAGAGGAACTGCCCAGATGCTCTCCATACGAGCTCATTGATGTTGTCAGAATTTGGCCAAGACGAAGGTAGAGAGCTTTTGAGAGGGTGGGATTTCTTGATCTCGCTAAACCCGTCGTCGAGGAATCGTCGTATGTCGTGGTCTGAATCGTCACTGTCGCCGAGGGTGTAACAGATCGTGATGTCTTGCAGGGAAGCCGAGTCAAATCTCAGTGAAATTTCCTGTTCGGGACGGCTGCCGACAAGGAAAATGAGACGACGACCAGCTGCTGCCAATGAAATACTTGCTCGATGAACGATGTCAAGTATTTTACACTGCATAGATCGGTCGACGCACTCATCAAGGCCGTCCACGACAATGAGCGGTGGGATATAAATCCTCGCCGCGGCTGCTTGCTTGAGGGGCTCAATGACAAGCTTCATCATCTGGGCCTCCAGTGATCGGGTGTGTATCACCGGGTCGTCTTCAAATGCCTGTTCGATGAGGCGGCGAGCAGGAGGGACGGCTAACGCGACCTGGTAGGCAAGCGTAGTGACGAAGAGCTTTGCATTGTTTCGTGTGGGATCCGAACGACTGAAGAAGAAACTGGAGAGGAGCAGGCGCTCCCGTTCGCACATCTCCGCAATTGTCCGCCCAATTGCTGACTTCCCAACGCCTACCGAGCCGTTCAGCCAAAATACGAAGGCCTTGCGGTCGAGTCCTTCACACACCCAGGACATAAGTGTCCTGAGGAGCGCTTCGCGGGTGCGAGGGTGACATCTTGGTAGATCATAGCACTCGCCCGAATTGTGGAATGCACTAGGTGCAATGATATGCTTCAGAACATCGAAGCCGGCTGTCAAATAGAAATTAGCGCCCGCCTTGTTGGCCTATTTTTGGACCGCTAGACTTACATGGCTTGGTCGTCTCGACGTGAAATGCGCTGTTGGCAATAAAAACATTTCGGGCTCCTTCGAAGAAGCGCACATCCTGTAGTCTTGTTGCTGACATTGCTGGGTGTGAGGCGCGATGCGGTGGTAAGTTACGAATCTGAGAGATCGAGGGTGGGCGGATGTTTGCACCAGCGGTACTGTTATGAGAGATGTCCTAAACACTGCCTGCTTTCAGGCCCCTTTTGTAGATACAAGGCTCTTACCCAGCGCAGCAGGGCAATTCACCTATGATAGATTATTTTGAAGGGCCGTATAGATTACGTTTTGAAACAGAGACGCCACATGTCGGAACCAGTCCGCCCTGGAGATGATGGACAACATAAGAAAGAAGAGGTGGCAGTAAGCGCCATCAACTAGCCGAGCACCAGAGTTATGAAGCAAATTCCAAGGTGTAATCTCATTGAATAGAATGTCCTATATGGCAGCTTTGGTCCTGAGGAGACTGAAGAGGCGTCAATCAGGGGGAGGAAAGGTAGGTAGTACTGGGGTAACACGGGGATGGCGTGGAGGTTTCCATCAACGTTCGACAACCCGTCTATCTGGGGACAATGAACAGGAGGCGGTTTACGTTTCGGCAACCGAATATCGACTAGCGGTTTGTCAGAAAAGAGACGACACAGTGCTGGCAGGGGCACCTATTGGGGGAGACAAAGTGTTCTGTCATCACAAATGCTTTGAGAACAATGCCTTTTCGATGTGACAGAATGAATAATTGCCTTATGAAAAATTCTCCCACTGCGCAGTTATTGTTTCGAGTCATTGTAGGCGGAAACGGGTATCTTGCCAGCAGTGTCAGAAACTGTAGACTAGAAACCACCAATGTCCTGGTTCAAGATGATCGCTACCTGATCATGAAAAACGACACGCGTCGGGAGAACACCAACGCACCAGCAGTCAGGGAATGTTCGTAGCCTACAGAGAAGACGATGAAAGTCCAACTCCTCGTCAGCACCGTCCTGCTTTTGCGTCTTTCAGCCATGAACTCGCGAGGTGATATGGAAAACGTACCAATGGAACGTTACAAGCTAGTGATCACATCTTGGGTTTCAAGGTTGTCCGAAAGGAAACTGGATTTATCCGCCAACCACAAAGAAAGACCACAAATTATGGGAAAGGATGACAACCGTCTCCGTCAGAACCCGTAACATCCTACTTATATTCAAAGTTAGTACTTGAGATATCCAAAGCACGAAGCAGGAAAACCCAAGGAGGCAGTGTACTTTTATCAGGAGAGGATAACGAGGAATGGAGACCTAGGATCATTCTAAAAGTACAGTATACATCTCAGTCTGCCTCAGAACGACAGCGAGGAGCACAAGCAGCGGACAGGTCCGCGTCCACTTGTCGTGCCTTCGTTCAGTGGATGGGGAGGGAAAGGGTGAACTCGGAAATGGAGTCAACGTCTAGGAGAGAAGGGGCAGGAGGAGGATGGTAGGTAGGAAAGGGCTTTTTAGATCGTAGATGAGATGCAGCGAGACGAGGGTGAAAACGAGCAAATAAAGAGACGGAAAGCATGGTACACGAAGCGACGAAAGGCGATAAAGGGAAAGCAACGACGATGGGAATGGGATGCCAGTGGATGCGATAGTTGAGAATTGCGAACGAAGATGCTGGAGGATTGGGGATGCGGAGGGAAAATAGAGGGCAAGGCGTTTAGACGATGCCTTTGGCGATCATCGTCTCCAACCGGCTGAATTCGGGGACGATGGCCGCGTAGGTCATGAACGCATCCACATCAGGCTCAGCGATCTTCGCCAGGCCAACCTGCGCCTCCGTGTCAGACGTTACCAGAGCCACGACTGGGGCGAGGGGTGTCGGCGTCGTCGGCGTCGCAGCACCGGCACTTCCATTGGCACTCGCGTTCCCAGACGACGGCGCTGACAGGCCGGCGTTCATCACACCCAGATTGCCAGAACCGAGGTCAGGTGTCGTGTACGCGGTCGACGGTGCGAGGCCTCCCGAGCCAGTGCTCGTACTGGAGAGCATCGTATCCCCAGTCTGCGTCCGCAGCCTGTCGCCAAAGGCCCCACTACCGTAAACCCCACCTCCAATGACACCCGCCGAGTTCAACCGCACCACCGGGGTCCTCCCATTCCTCTCCGCCTCGATCTCCTCGTCCTCATCCTCCTCCACAAACACCGTGCTACCTAGTCCCGAGCGCGAGTTCGGGTGCCCAAACGGCGTGCTTGTGCCGCTGTTCGCCCCGCTGCTCGGTGCCATCCCAGGCATCGTGCTCGCTGTACCGTTAATATTGCTCTTCAGAAGCATGCCACCCGTTGCAATCCACCGCTTGCCCAGCAAACGCTTCATCTCGTCCTCGAATACCCCCAGACTCCCAACACCCCACTCGCGGCCCCATATCCAGCGTGCAACGTACGCGCTCCCAAGGGCCGGCCGGCTAGGGAATCCCGGTGCAGGAGCATTCCGGTGTGGGATAACTTGAGCAGAATCTACCTGTGTGAAGGTGGCGAAGATGGGCGCGTTGAAGATGTCGCCGACGAGATTCGCAACACTCGGGAAGTTGGCAGCGGCACCGGTGGTTAGAATCCTCGTCGGTAGCGTTGTGGGGTCGTATGGATCAAACGAGAGACCCAAACTCGACAGAGAGTTGCTTGTCCGTCCTGATAGAGGGGGTGGAGTTGGACTCACGCCACCTTTTCTTGACCCGAGGACACCTGTCGAGACCACTTTTGCCCACTTAATACGGAAGGACAGAAGCTGGCTCTCCAGGAGACAGCGAGGGTTGGCACGCAGATCTCGGAATTCGTTCACTTTGATCCCAGTCTCGAAACGGTAAATGCCCTTGACGCGTGTAAAAGGGTATGAATCTGGTTGTAAGTGCCAGAAACTGAACAGTTTATCATCGAGCCTGGGATGTCATGAGTTTCTCGGCGAGGAGTGACCAACAGGAAAGACACCAACCCAATAGAGCCACCTGGAGGCACAATCGCGACCAGGCGGTCGAAAGCACTCCAACTCTTGGTATACATGTCGCGCACCAGCGCCCGGGGCACATCAGCATTCCTGCATAAGTCGGTGAGCGACGAAACGCTAGATTCGAAATCACAACACACCTGCTGGAAAGCACGGCGATATATTTCCGCTTTTCATTTAAATCTTGGGCAGGATGTGGAAGTAGATTATAAAATCGGGTAGGAATATAATGCTGTGCGGGTGCGAGTAATGTATCCATAGGACCGAAAGAAAGAACCGCATCGCCGGCGGACGGGAGTAGGGAGAGATAAGAGGCCAGGAAGTCGGTCGTGAAAGGCGCCACCATGCAATCTGAGAAGGGAAAAAAACATGTAAGATGAAGGACAGCTCGACGAAGGGGATACGCACCTGGATCGAAACCATAGCGCTCTACAAGGTATCTCGAGACATTTCCTATTTTCCTTGAACCCCCAGAGACGTCCACGTCACCCAGCCACCCTCTGACTCGTCTACCATCTTCCCGACTCCCTCCCACCACATCAAGCACGCTCTCGTCCCAGTAGCCTTGTCCGTTTCCAGCGACAGTATTGGCACCGTGTACCCAGGCACCACTCGCGCAAGCTTCCGGCTCGCCCATGCTTGTCCATTTTCCAGTAAAAACACTGGCTAAGAAGGCACTTGCGAGCTGAATGCGTCCTGTCCGGGCCCAGACTTCAGTCGACCAAGTTTCACGCACGCGGAGAAGCTGAGCGGATATCATGGAAGGGTTGGCGCAGATCCCTACCCGGGCAGCCATGCGATCGGGGCCTCCGAGAAATGACTCAATGGCGAGAGCATGGGTTTGGGATGAGGTATCTTGCGCGACGGGGGTATTGGGAAGAGAAAAGGTATGGGAGGGGAAATGTTGATGAAGTGGAACATGTGGATCCAGAGAGGACAGCGAGGGGACCGTCGTCGATTTCCACCAGACAAGAGCATGCTGGAAGAATATAAGCAAAAAGTTCGCGTACAAAATAGATTTATTTACCTGGGCAGTGCCTCCAATCGCCTTTATTTTCGTGAGGTCGTAATTTCTGTGAAGCTTTTCGAGGAGGGTATCTGGTCACATGAGCGTGTCAGAGATCAGGAACATAAGGGCGTTGCCGAATCGGGAAGGATAGTCGCATCCAAAAAGAAAAAAAATTGGTTCCGCTGGGGCAAACGAAGAGGTCCACTTACCGAGTCCCTTGAGCCACATCTCCACTGGCGTCGTGTAGGCCTCCCCGGGCGTCGTGAAAATGCCTCCTTGTGTTCTGCAGCGCCGGGATACGATTAACTCTGCCTGCGAGCGAAATGAGATGGCAGATACACGTACTGGTACTCCGGCAGGTCAGTATCAAAGTCGACGCACTCCACACCCACAAGCTCAAGGCTTTCGTCTACGATGGACGCCCGCAGCTGGTCTACACCCAGCTCGATCCCCAGGAAGAGCGACGGTCCGGTTTTAGGTATAGCAGGCATGTTGTGGATATATTAGAGATGCTGGTATCTTGGACGTGGTATTCAAGTAATGCTGAGCGTATGGTATCTGAAATACTGGAATCGTCGACTTCGTGAGAGCGACCCGGCCCTGTGGGTATTGCGCGCGGTTGGGACGAGAAGGAGCGTGAGGTGGCAAGTCTAGTTGGACGAAAGCAAAGGGTGTGCGCGGGGGATGGCGGGGGTCGTTCGTCGATGCGGCTTCCGACAGTCTCGTGGTCGTAAGGTAGAGAGAAACAGAGAGAGGTAAGGGCTGGAGGAGAAAAAGATGGACGCGAGCTTTCTCAGGCATATCCAGGACCTCGCGATTATGTAACCCGGCATCCCCCTGCCGTCCCTCTTCTCTTCTCACGCTGCCATACCACCCAGACTGCTCCCTCTTGCTCCTCCACCACTGCCGCCGACCAGGAAATACAAATACCGCCGCTCACAACTCTTCAAAACCCCTTCATCTTGTTCCTCAACCTCAACGAAAAACCCCAGTCCCCACTGGCTGCCTGTCACTGGTGCGTATCACCGCCGGTTGTTCTGATGCACATGCCATACAATAGAAGCCCTCTGCAATGTTCTGATAGATATTTACGACCGCCAACCGGTGACGGCCTTGTCAAATCCCCCTTCTCTGCACTAGCGCCCCTCTTGATCCGTCTGGTCAATCTCGAGGCTCGGGCTTGACACCTTCCGGATGTTGGGGGCACAGTTGGACGTTTCAAACGCGTCAACATCTGTTCGTCTCTCGACACAGCGTTGATCAGTGATCACCACCGCCCACCACCTCCAAGGAAGACCTCATTCGACTCGCTGCGAGTTTCTAGACCTTCATTTGGGAGGAAGTTCATGTCGGCCCACGGAACCGTCCGTCCCCGGACGGACGGCAGCCCTGTTCCATCTGGTTCCATCTGGAAGCCCTCTCAAAAATACTCCCGTGGTCTTCGCTCAATACATGCGGCTTCCCAAGCTTTTCTCTTGGCCCCGAATCGTCTTCTTTGCACTCCCGACTCGTGGCGGCCTATGGCGGGTCGGGTTCTGCAGGTGCGCGTCGCTGCTTCCAACAAGCGGCGATCATCTACCAGGCCATCGGCGCTCGACTGCTTTTTGCTAACTGCTGGTCGATATTGGGTCGCCAGAACGTAACCTACCTTCTATCTGATGGATGGGTTATTTGAAGGTTGACAGAAACCCCTACGCCACCTCTCGTCACCCTACTACCTGTGCTATCAAATCCTTTCTCCTATCCCCAGTTTCCTCCGGGTCGAAACTACCATATAGGTTGCTGCATTAGTCTTAGATTCCGGGCTCTCGGAAGTCGGAGATAGTCGAAGCATGGCGTACGTGGGTATGCACGGGAGAATCTCCTCTCCAACGATGCGACGCCGAGGTCCCCAGCGGAAGCTTGGACGGCATTGCTGGCTTATATTGAACATCTGCGTGAGAGCCACCGTCGGTGATACCCAGCAGACGATCACAATACCTGATGCTGACAGGATCCGTTATCCCACTCTTGGAAAAGCTGGGGGAATCTAAAATATGCGATTAGACAACCACCGCAGGCGGGGAAGGCTCGCTACGCCATCCTAGCTTTTCTCGGCACGAAATCTCTTCATATTATGGACAAAATAATTTTATTCGAACGATGAGAACTGTACACAACTAGAAGAAAATGACGAAGCTCCTGCGTGTCAGAATTGCATCTGCGCACCGTTATTTTTTGAATCTGCCCGGCCTTTCTCAGAAGAAATCTGAACCAGGAAAACATGGAAATGTGAGCAGGGCTTCGTAGAAAAAAATCCAAACTTCGCGCAAATCCCCCGTTGTTTTTTGGTATAGAATCGTTCGACAAATCGTACACACTTATTCGAGTACATTTTAGTAATGTAGTAGGGCAAAAGGAAAGCACAATAGCATGCCCGAGGTCGCCCAACGGCGACCTAATTTGTGGGCCTACTTTTTGTACTCGTCCAAGCGCCCCTTCGCAGTAATAAAAAAAGGAAGTTTCCTTCAAGAACCTAACGATCGGCTCGTTGAGGGCGCCTACCATCACCTAACGTTTCTTGTTTCTGATTTTGTCAGTCTCTTGAGCCGCAGACCACAACGTCGCTGCCACATTGACAGGACATTGATGCATTTCCTGCAAAGTGGCCTCGTTCTGACTAGCTAGGGTCAAGCTTGAGCTTAAAGACTCACGTTATTTATTTATACGGCTCTTCCAAACTGTCTATCTGCTCCGTTGGAGCCTTGTATTTACACAAGGGGGCTTGAAGGCGGGCGGTGTCCGGTTTACGAAAGTCTCTCATGCCAACGGCGCCGCTGGTGCAAACATGCGTCAACCCTCAACCTCTCAGACTCGACAGTTACCACCACCTCGCACCTCGCATCCAACAATGTCAGCAGCAAGACGAGCAGATGTGCGGCTTTTTGAAGGAGCTCGCGATGTTTTTATCGCTGACAGCGCATTTCGCGTCGAGATAACCCAATCGAGTAAGTCGGGCCGCCCAAAGATAGCACGCCAAGGCGGGCGCTAATTTCCACTTCTCAGCTGGCATCGATGGTTTGAAGCAAATCATCGCGCCGAGCGCTTTCCACAACTCTGGCGAGTGCTACGACCCACCGAGATGTCACCCTCGCACCCGCAAAGCCCTCCTAGGCAGAATTATGTCGTGGGTACGGGGCGTGATCGACACCGAAGCCCTCATTTTTTGGCTGAACGGGTCGGTTGGCGTTGGGAAGTCGGCAATTGGGCAGACAATTGCGGAGATGTGCGAGCGGGAGGGCCTTCTCCTGGCTAGCTTCTTCTTCGGTCGCTCGGATCCCGCACGCAATAATGCAAAGCACTTCGTTACTACCCTTGCCTACCAGGTCGCGCTGGCCGTACCGCATGCTCGTCATCGCATCGAACAGGCATTTGAACATGACCCTGTCATCCACACCAGATCACTAGAAACCCAGATCATGAAGCTCGTCATTGAGCCACTCGGACAGGCAACCGCAGTGCAAATTGGTATACCACCCCTCGTTGTCGTGGATGGCCTCGACGAATGTGCGGACCGAGCCATGCAATGTAAAATCCTCAGCCTCATCCATCAAGCAAGTTGGTCGTTAGCGACAATCGGTCATCGCCTCATTTTCCTTGTTGGGAGCCGGCCCGAACAGGAGATATCTCTCCTGTTCAACTCAAGTCCCATCCAAGATATCACGATTCATTATACCCTGGGCGATTGTGTCGATTCAGACGATGATATCCGACGTTTTCTTGAGGATAGATTCGAAGCGATCAAGAAGAGCCATCCTATTAAAAATTCTATACCTTCCTCCTGGCCCAGGTCGGAGGATATCAATGAGCTCGTGTGGAGAGCGTCTGGACAGTTCCTCTACGCCCACATCGTGATTGAATACACTAGCAGTATCCGACATCGTCCATTCGACCGTCTGGCCGAACTGCTCACCCTACCATCACAGCAGGCAAATAACCCATTTGCCGATCTTGACGTGCTTTACACTCACATCTTTTCATCCGTCCAAAGTGTAGAATCTGTCTTGAAGATTCTCGGGTTGTGTTTAACCAAATTCAGCAGCGAAGACTTAGCGTTCAGCGACATCGTGCGCAATAGGCTCGGTCTCGGCTACGAGGATGTCAAATTGTTGTTCGGTGACCTTTCATCCGTCGTTGACATTGTATACACGTTGGAAAGAGGATCATACACCTGGGAAATGAATTTGCGACACGCCTCCCTGGAGGAGTTCCTGACGAATCAACATCGCTCAAAGAAATTCTTTGTGGATATAGAGCCGAGCGTCGCTGAATGGGTTACTTGGGTCTTACGGAACAATTTGGTGGATCACCCACAACATGTGGACGATCTTGAGGCGGCTTTCAGGAAATTGAAGTCGTCTAAGTCTCAACTTCTCCATGATGTTTTGCGAGATTGCCATCTCGCCCTTCTACTATCCAAACCCTCTCTTCAACTGGCATCCGTCCAGCTCTCTAGGTTTGTTTACAGTGCTATTACAGCAATAAAGCATATGGTGCGTTCTCGGCTCTCGTCTACCTGATTTCTACTTATCGCATTATCGTTGATTTTAGCCATTCGAAGACGCTGAAATATTATACGAAACACAGCTACAATCTTTCGAGTCCCAGGTGCAATTGATCCTGGGGCGCTTTTACTCCCCAGTGGTCTACTTCCCATTACTTCTGAAAGGATTTACCACCCGTGCACCTCGTCACACTGAGTCGGCGCTGTGTGATATGTTACGGATAGAACGAAAAGAATTAGACACGCGTGACCCTCTCGGCTTTACCTGGCGTGGGCGCCAGTGGTCGCAATTCTTCTCATTTCTCTCTACCTTCATCCATGATCCGACCAGGTCTTTCGAGTATGCAATGGACGGTGTCAAATTGGCAGAAGCAGCACTTGCACTCTTCCGTTTCCTGTGCTACCCGAAGCTGTCCACCAACATTTTTGGGAAATTCCTTTCCTCGTATACTGAACTTCTGAAATATCGCCCCTGGACCTCACGTAGGATGCGACTGTCTCGATCTAATACAGCACCCCGCAAGTGGTTTAAATGGCGTTTCTGCGATCATTGTGCGAGGGCACATACAACAAAAGAGTCGTGCATTGGATATGATCAGTTTGTCCCGACCCTCGCATATCTTTCATCGCACCGATCATCCTTGATTATTCTTCACACCTCACACGAACTGCTTGGTTATCGGTTCGCCTTGACTTTCCTATCCGACATCCTTGCTGCAGCATCACGGTCCGCCGAGCTCGTTGAGTGCTGCAAAGAATATGTATTCCACTCCACGTCCATCCTCTTCCCTCACAAGTCCAAAATCGCACGAAGAGCGATATCGGAGTATCTCGAGCGGATGGAAGCCAAAGAGCAAGGGTCGTGATTTGGTCGAGGGTGGGTCCTAGCCTCTGGTCTATTAAATTAGGTCCGATTTCTTCAACCGTTCACCCGCTATATTGGGGGAGGGTGCAGTGCACAGGCTTTCGAGGGCTCCGAGAGAGTGAGGGAGGAATTTAAAGTTAATGGACAGCGAAGGTTCTTCTTGAGCGTTTCTTTCTGGCTTCCGTTAGCTACTGCGCCGAGTGGCATCACTGTCTTTAAGCGCTGTGCACTAAAGATAGGCGCCGGTCAAATCCGAATCAACCCGGCGTTCACGTTCGTTCTTCGCGTGCCTGACTTTGATCGGACAATTTTTGTCGGTGCCGCGTTACCTCTAGTGCAAGTTCGTCGGTCCATCCTTAGAGTAAAGGCTATTCACCCAGCGGATTTGTCGCCAAAAGAAAGGGGATTCCTACTCAGTGTGAGCAGAGGGTTGCTATTGAGGTTATCTATCCAAACATATGCGCTGCCAGCCTGCTGGGATCCGACCTCACTAGCACTGGGGACTGGCAATTTGTGGACGCAAATTGATATCCGCGATTCCCCCCAATTTCCGTCCGCACTAGGATTTAACATGAGTGCGCTTTGGGACCACTTCCGTCCCCATAGGGATCCTACCTAGGTACTACTGTAGAAATAATAGGGTGCTGCCAATAATTGACGGTTCCAGAGGAGGATTTCGGAGTTTAAATTAGATAGACTGGTCGACGACAGGTTCTTTCCCGATGTCTTATCCCAACTTCTGTCATGCCCACCCACCTTACTGTGCCTATCTACGTGGCGAATTCTGATGGATCTCGTCGGCCGAAGCATATCACGCGCTACACTATTCAGGACGAGGGGACCAACCTCTGCGCCTTGCGCGATTTTGCTGCCGCAAGTCTAGATGATTGTGGCATCGAGCTGCCCGAGAACCTGTTGTCACGACTTTTGGTGGTATGTTCTAATAAAACTCATGGGCCTGTGAAAATGACTAGTTTCAAAGTAGCTCGATGATCCCCTGTTCTCACCGCCTGCTATACCGATGCTGAAGGACCTGCCTCATGAGCTACCAGACGACCAACGCCTCGGGTGGGATGAGTGGACATTCTCTTCAATCCGGATTCACGAGAAGGAGGGAAGCGTTGTGATACTGTATGGTACGTCTTCTTCTCCTCTCGTAGCGCTGCCTACTGTTAATCCGGCTTCTGGCTGGTAGAGAGCGGCAAGCGAAGGGCAGAACAGATGGCCGACCTCAGCGAGTTTCAACAAGCGAAGAAGGCCAAGCTAATCTCCAAATCTCCATCGGAAATGTCGAAACCCTTGAACTATGAGGCCATACAGAAGTCGCCATCGGAGAGGATCCTCGACGACCGCCCAACTGCAGACGAGGGTCTTCCACCCGTACCGCTCCTTTACTCCGGGTTCGGCCATTTCCTCGACATCTACAATGGGTGCAACGATTTTTCGGAACTGTCTATCCTCGACCTTCCTAGACTGCAGGTTGCTGTGGAGGGATTTGCAGAGGCGATGAGTGCCTTTTTTACGGATGAGGATGCTAGACCGGACGCAGGGCTACCCTTCCTGAACGAGATCTTCTCCTCGCGCAAATCACAGTTGCCTTCTTTTGCACACCTTCATGCGCAGTCATTCCGTAGTTTGAGGACTGATGAACACAACATCGCTGCCTACAATGCTGCCGGAACGGTGGTAGTATTCAAGAACATGCTGACCGGAAACCGCTCCATTCCCGAGGTGGAAGTTGCTTGCTACGTTGCTCAGCTCAACGCCAGATCGAAAGAGGTTTCTACATTGTTTGATCGGTGGAGGATGCCATACCTTGGCATAACTGTTGTTGGTAAGTTCCAACTTAGAGAAGCACTTGCCTGACCGACGAAGCAGAAATAGGGCATCAAGTGACTTTCTACGCCGTTATTTCAGTCGGGCATCAGTATCGACTTGTCAGCCTTACTCCCACTCTGTCCTGTCTGGTCGCAAGTGCAAATTCCGATGACCGGAAACGCCTTCGTCGCGCTTTCGCCGCCGCCTTGGTGCTCGACATGCTTATCTTTGCCGACATCTGCCGCTTGCTCAAGCAGCTTCCCCCGACCATTCACCCTGATAGGTGGCGCCTTCCTGCAGTCACCCAACTCCGCAAATACCCCCTATCGGAATCATCAGCGGAAAACCCATCGGATGTCCACCTCGACTTCCAGATCGAGCACGATCAACGCTCAAACCCGTCGCGACTGATCTACATCGCAGTAAGTGAGGGCCAAGAGATTGTCATCAAATTTACTCGAAGCTACTGTCCTCGATTACATACCTTCTGTGCTGAACTGGGCCATGCGCCGAACCTTCTCGCGTACGAACGTCTTCCGGGGGGCTGGTTTGGTGTCGCTATGGCTTACATTCCGTTTGCGCGCCATCTCAGTGACTGCAAGGCAGACGCCGCCGAGCGTCTCCGTTGGGGCAATCAGCTAAGCGAAGTGATGAATCGATTTCACGAGGCAGGCCTGGTCCATGGAGACCTGCGGGATTCAAACATCGTCGTTGATGGAGAGGGTCGCGTCCTGCTGCTGGACTTCGATTGGGGAGGTTTAGATGGGGAGGCCACTTATCCAACCTGGTCCTTGAATCCGCAACTGCTGGAAGGAAGGACTCGTCACGATTTCATCATTCGAAAAGAGGATGATAAGAGAATTTTAGAGTATACCTTATCTCTCACTTCAGACGACCGATAAGGTCTGTTTGTAACCTCTGTTTTTATTTGATGAACAACTTCATAGTATGGATGCCATTGCACGTCGTCCGCCCCCCCCTCGGTCAAACATACGCATCGATTTGGACGGCAATAAAGTATATGTGCGTTCTTGGCGTTCGTCTATCTGATTTTTACTTATCACATTTCTCGTTGGATTTAGCCATTCGAAGATGCGACGCTCTTGATCCAAGAGGGCCCCCGGTTTACATAAATGGCATTTCTCCGATCATTGTGCGATGTCCCGACCCTCGCATATCTTTCACTGCCTCGATCATCCTTCAATACTCTTCACGCGTCACACCTCACCAAACCAAAAATATTTTTTGTAAGATCAAAAGCTGCTTGGTTATCGGTTCGCCTTGACTTTCCTATCACCGTCCGCCGAGCCCATTGTGTCCTGCAAAGAATATGCATTCCACTCGGCGTCCATCTTCTTCCTCCGCAAGTCTAAAATCGCACGAAGAGCGATATCGGAGTATCTCGAGCAGATGGAAGCCGAATAACGAGGGTAGTGACTTGACTGAGGGTGGGTCGGATCCTAGCCTCTGGCCCATCAAATACTTTCCGTCAAATCATTTGATTTTGTTAGGTCTAATTTCTTCAACGCGACGTACACAGACTTCCAAGGGCTCCGAGAGGGGGAGGGAGGAATTCAAGAGTCAATGGGTAGAGAAGGTTATTTCAGGCTTCCGTCAGCTACCGCGCCTAGTGACATCACCGGCATTAAGCGCTGTGCACTAAAAGTTTACTAAAGATAAGCGCCGGTCTAATCCGGCTCATGTCCTTCGTCCTTCGCGTGCCTGACTTTGATCGGACATTTTGTGTCGGTGCCGCGTTGCCTTCGGTGCACGTTCGTCGATTCATCCTCAGCACCTGTGGGGGATCGCGCCTGTGCTTGGTGGAATGCCCATTTGTCTGCATATTGTTCAAGTACACGCCCCTTTCAGACTTACTCGAAGTCCACGGTGGCTTAGCAAGACAGAGATAAAGGACGAGAAAGACTTCTGAACCAGACTCGGGGATGGAATGTGGCCGACCACATCGCTGAGGAACCACCATATCCTGGATCAAGGGTAATAATTTTATGCAAGCATTGTGAGATGGACATCTTGTTTTAGTACCCACGCCTCCCACCTAACTGAGTGACCTCGTTCGAGGTTGCCCTCGAGGAGCTTTAGAGATTAGATTGCAGGGTCTAGGTCCCGGCCGGCACGTTTCGTCCGAACGGAAAGTATCACGTTCTTGTCCGCATTCCGAAATGAGGCGACGACAAGTCTTTCTTGGGTCTTTACCACCGACCTATAATCCTAAAGCCAAATGCTTCGAAAATGTCGCTTTTCTCACTCTCTACTGAACTTTATCACCGTGGTTTCCGGTATGTCTACGCGTTTCTCTGTTTCAAGCCTCGTATTCATGAAGGAGCAGATGGCGAAGAGCTTCCACATTGACTGGAAAACAGCACGTATACCGCGAGGCCGAGCCCGGACGTCGCTCTTGGACCTTCCGAACGAACTACTCCTCCAGATTCTGCTCGATGGTTCCTTATCCGAGGGAGATCTTTTCGCTATGGGCCTCGTGTGTCGCCACTTCAACCTCATAGCCCTCCCAATCTTCCTCCAAGCATACGGTATAGAAGATCCCAGCGACACGATCTCTGTCTCGGTACCGGTATGGGACCTAGCGCACCGCAAGAGTCCCGACGCTCTCGCTGGTCTGTGTGCAACTGCGCATGGAATCACATCTGTTCGCCTTCTGCGCTGCTTCTTCCAGGAGGCCTTGCCGCAGCCCAGTCAGCAGCCCGAGGTCGAATTGCGCGCTACCCACCTTCCTCATGCCGTGCGGCGCCTCACGCGTTTCGTGCACCGTTTGTCCCACATCGAGGATGCCCAGATCTACCTCGTACGACATGCGGACGACACGGTCCAAACTCGCAAGCCGTCGGACGGGTCCAGGCTCAGAGGAGCGCCGATGGACGAGATCTGCGACTGGGCAGACGCTCTAGGGGGGTTGTTGAACGCCATCGTCGAACGAGGATGCACGCGCTTGACGGTGCGATATAATGCCGCAATCGAAATAGGGTCATTTCGTTTCAGAGAAAGAGGAAACGAGATGAAGGTGCCTTTTCCTTCGATCTCAAGAGGTAGTGCGTACGCCGACCCTCCTCCGGTCGTTCACTGGGACTGGGAGAAACCTTCGTGGTCAACTCGATCCAAACGGCATTATTGAGAGGCAAATCTTTCCCTTTGGTCCCATACTCGCAGAAAGCACAGAATAACCCGACGATCCAATACTTCTTCCTCCACTCGCCGACTCTCCTCCTTCCTCCATTTACGAATTGGACGCTGTCTCTCCTACACACCCAAACTTCGCTTACACACCTCTCCATGGGCGACATAGCCCTCGCCAAAGAACACTGGACATTTATCCTTCCCATGATCCCAGACTCGGTCTGCCAACGACTCATCGCGTTCACTGTTGAGTCACAATGCACGTCGCTGGGCGCCACCGACCTACTTCAGTTCCTCACTCGCCTGTCGCGATTAGAGCGTCTCAAGATCGACAATATATTCGGCTGGGAGATCTGGGCGAAATGCCCAATGCGATCGCCTTTCCATTCGTCTGCTACCCGACCGCCCTTCCGTGACGACATTCCACTGCCCCGTTTCCCCCATCTTCGGTTCTTGGAAGCGCCTGTGGAAGTGGCATGGTTCCTCGTCGAAGCAGGGGCTTCCGGCGGGCGTTCAACAGATAAACACCAGGGTAAAGAACATGTCGCGTTTCCCTGCTTGGAGGTGCTGATCATGCATTCCGAAACACTGAGCACCGACTACCCAGCGTGCTACGTCGAGGCGGCGCTCATGGTCAACATCCTTCTTCGCAGATTTATCGACAATAGGAATGCCGCAGAAGAAGATCATCCCAAGCTCGAATTCGTCCTGAGCGCCGAGGCTGCCGACGTACGAAACTTGGAGCCCGTAGCAGACTTTATCACGACGGTGACGACCAAGGAAGTACTGCATCATAACTCGACGGCGTACCGCGACATCTCCCTCACCGAGGCGGAAATAGAGGCTCTCGCAAGAGGAGACGCGTTTCCCCGTCCGGCCAACGCAGAACACCTTCCTAACAGTCCCATGCACCATAGACCCGCTATCGCATTTCCGCACGTAACGGGATTGCTTCTCCATACTCTCGACCCCGCCGATGGGAACCTCCAACGCACAATTCATTCGCTATGCCGATACCTCAATCTCCTGTTCCCGCATGTGGCTAGGGTGGAATTTACCGCTGGCCTTCCAGACAAGAAGACGACGGACAGAGGCGAGGAGGAAGAAAGAAGCGTCCTACAACAGGTTGCCGACACGCTGAAGCAGACGTGCCCGCAAGTTAAGCAACTTGGGGTGGGCGGCGAGATATGGAATATTTTGTAAATAGGTGCGGTCTTTTATCTGGAATATTTGCTGCTGTGCGCTAACATGATTCTCAGATTTCATAAAGCATTTGCTGTATGCACATTCTCTCAAACGAGCAAACGACCCGCCTACCATTGTTCTTTATTCCTCGTTCCGATATACGATTACCCTGACTTCCTACAAATTTCAAAGCCGTTTCTCTAGTAAACTTCGCAGGTCGATCAAGTCTGACATGCCACTCTGTTTGCAATTCAGTATCCCGGTTTTGGAGACCTTCCTGGACGTCGATTTCCCCAACTACAGAGTTTCTACCAAGGTGTTAGTATCGTTGATTTGACGAAGCCATTGAACGGGGGAAGGCAGGCCAGAAGGACCAATAGCACGTACGGTCAAGCTTCGCACGAGGGGACTTCGGAGATATTACATAAGACAAAAAATGCAGCTTCCTCCGTTCTTCCACTTGAATGACAGTAAGTCGGTATGAGTTCGGATGGATAAAGGCCAAGGCTGTATGATACACGGAATGTAGAATAAGTGAAGTCTCGATGCATGAATCCGAAAGCTAAGTCCTAGGCGAGACACGTCACAGATCATGTGATCGTGCAGTCACCGTAAACCAACATCGCATCGTAGCCAACCTCTCCCTCCTACATCTCCCCCTCACTTTAAAAATCAACCATCCCTGGTTGCCAACCACCCCGGTCCCCGAAACACTCAAACCTCCTCTAGGAGGAGGAAGGACAGTGATGAGAGCGATGAGGATAGCGAGGATGAGAAGAGGAAGAAGGAGAAAGCAAGACGATGACGGAGGAAGCAGGAAAGCGATAGTGATGACGAGTGCCGACGGAGGAAAAAGAAGAAGACGAACAAGAAAACTAAAAAGAGGATGGATACTGATGACAGTGACAAGAGCAGTTCAGAAGACGAGAGATCGAGGAAGAAGGCATCGAGGAAAAAGCACAAGTAGCTTCCAATCTCTTTGCGTTTCCCTTTTTTTGCTTTTCTTCGCAATGTTTGCAACCAGGGATGGTTGATTTTCAAAGTGAGGGGGAGATGTAGGAGAGAGAGGTAGGCTATGATGTGATTACAGTCCCACTCTGTGATTAGATTAGATAAGGACACGGTACTTACGCGTAGCCACTTGTCTCTTTGTTCTCCAGCTCACTCTTGTACGACGACAGAGGCAACAACACACATTAGCATTACGGTCCCTCAAAGAGCAATAGCAGCTCATCGGATTCTTCAAGTGATGGTGATGCTTCTGCGAATGATTCGTCTGATTCTGATAGTGATAGTGACGATGGTGTGAAGAAGAAGAAGGGGAAAGAGTGGACACGGAAGGTGGAGGTAAAGGAGAAAGTTGGGGAAGAGGTGGAAAGATTGACGAAGAAGCTTCATGGTCTAAAGGTCGGCGACATCAATTACGCGGCAACATACATCGAATTGGTCAGGCTCGCACCTATCACCGCATCTGTCATTCCGAAGCCTACATCTTCCATCTGGGGTCAGACAGAGAACCAAACCTCAACATCAGGAGTCAACACAGTGCAAGCGCCACTTGCACCTCCTCGACGGAAGCCTTGCTATTTCTGCAACAATTATGGCCATGTTTTGCGGGCTTGTCGTTGGGTAGAAGACTATGTTGCTGCAAAGCGGGTGGTGTGGAAAGACAACCTTCTCTATTTTCCTGATGAACGAGGTGGACAGGCAGTTGAATTCAACCAACAAGGACTCAAAGTAGTGGTCGACAAGGCTTTTGGCGGACAACTCGAGAGGGCAGGCGACAGACCCCCACACATGGCCACAACATCTTTCGTAGTTGTAACGCCAGTCAGTGCAACCTTTGCCACAATGGAGGAGGTTTATGATAGTGAGTGCAAAGGTGAGGAGGAGGACGAGATTGCATTGATGGAGGTTTTCGAGGAGCTGAGAGAGGCAGAAGCATTTGCGATGACGAGAGGAAAAGCAAAGGAGTTGGAGAAGCAGAAGGCTGATGAAGAAAAAGGGACCACTGGAAGAAAGGAGAAATCAGCCAAAGTATCATCTATGACACTGGAGAAAGCTTTTACCTATGAATCAGCAGCGGCGGACCCAGACGCAGCATCCAAAATGTACGACCGCATCATGAAGACACCCATTCACGACATGACTGTCGGCGACCTTGTTTCGCTGAGTGGTGACCTGCGTAAGCGCATTGTCGAGCAGTGCCGCACGACAAAGACACCGGTTACGGTCAATGCGACTGCTGCTACAATGAGTGTCCAGTCTATTCCGCTCGAATATTGTACGCCATTGCGGGAGGTGGCTGTGAGGGTGGCAGCAAAGGTGGATGAGAGAGCGTTGTTGGACGATGGTTTGGAGATTGTGGTGATGCGGAGGGATCTGTGGGAGGAGACAAGACACAAGGTCAATATGCGGCGAAATATGATGATGGAGACAGTGAATGGTGACTTGGAGAAGATGGAGGGTTGTGCTGAGTTCATTGAGGTGGAGGTCAACGGCTTGAAGACATGGGCGCACACCTTTGTGGTGCCTCAAGCCCCATTCCGATTGTTGCTCGGTCGACCATGGCAGAAGAGTGTCCTGCTGCAGAAGGCGGAGTTCGAGGATGGCAGACTTCATGTCACAATCCACAGCCCTTTGGACCGTTCAAAGAAATGTGTGGTTGAAATGAAGGAGAGAGAGTCGAGTGGAGGGAAAGGTCAGACATTAATGTTCCGATCTAGGGAGGATGTGTTGGAGGCTTGGAGGCGGTGGAGAGAAGGCGGATGTGGTAATGGGCTGGAGGAGGAGCCAGAAGGGGGTGAAGAGGTCAACATTCTCAGATNNTCTGCGTACATTCTCTTCGATGGCATATACGGTCTGCTCGGTTGTCAGTCCTCATCAAACGTTGGGAGATTCACTACAGCCACCATTTCCGACTTCCTATGCCAACTTCATCCTAGGAACAACTTTCGAGCAAGGCCCAACTGCGCAGACCTTGGCATACAAGAAGGTCGCGAGGAGGATAAAGCCGGTTTCGACAACGATGCCTGAACGCGCCAAAGTCAAGTGCCATTTTCCCGAGGATCCGCTGGCTACACTACCAGCAGTGCCAGTGGTTCCTCCTGATTTTAAACCAGGCATACGATTGACGGAGGAGAGGTTGGCGAATTTGGGGATCATGGAGAATGTGTTTTTGTGGCCGGAGGAGCGGAAGTTAGCGGCGGCGGTGTTGTTGGTGAACGAGACTGCCTTGGCATGGAGTGAGGAGGAGAAAGGCCGTTTCCGTGAGGACTATATTGAGCCCGTGGTCATTCCGGTCATCGAGCATATTCCATGGTTCAAGAAAAGCCCTCCCTTCCCACCAGCAGTCAGGGAGAAAATTAAGAAGGTGGTCGAGAAGAAGTCGCCTCCGGAGTTTACGAAGAATCTACCAGCTCGTATCAGCATACAATTCTGTCAGTCAACAAGAAGAACGGTGACATACGCATCGTACACAACCTTGCACCGCTCAACGAGGTTACCATAAAAGATGGCTCACAACTTCCAATTATCGACCAGTACGCAGAGTTGTGCAGCGGCCGTGGTGTTTATTCAACTCTTGACATCTTTGTTGGCTTTGATCACAGCTCCTTGGCAGAGGAATCAAGAGATCTGACAACATTCGACACACCTCTCGGAACCCATCGCCTCACAGTTTTGCCTCAGGGGTGGACTGGATCGCCGGGGATATTCCATCGCCAGGTTGCATTTTTGCTGCAGCACGAGACGGAGATAGCACCAAATTTTGTAGACGATGTGATGGTGTTGGGGCCATAGACACGATACGAGACGCTGGACGGAGGGTTCAAGGTTTTGACAGGGAATCCTGGCATTTGCTGATTCATTTGGGAACACCTCGTTGACCTCAACTGGATCCTTCACCGCATTGGTCGTGCTGGCGGGACGTTCTCTGCTCTTAAACTTGTAGTCTGTCAGCCGCAAGCGGTCGTCGTTGGCCAACTATCAACGT